CATCATCAACTTGACAAACAGTAATGTCACCAGTCTAGTCTTCGATGACGTTGCAGCTGCTGTTCTACAAGAAGAAAATCGACGCAAGAACAAGGAAGACAGACAAGTAAATCTACAACAAGCAGAAGCGTTGACAACTATGAGAGGGAGATCAACAGAACGTGGCCAAAGCAGCAGTCATAAACATGGTAGATCGAAGTCGAGGAGCAAGAAGAATTTAAAGTGCTACCACTGTGGAAAGAAGGGTCACTTGAAGAAGGATTGTTGGAGTCTAAATAAAAACTCCAATCCACAAGGCAATACCGCAAACACTTCAGATGATGGAGATGCTCTATGTTGTGAAGCGTCAACCACCGTGGAAGGAAGAAAATGATTTGCAGATATATGGCTCATTGATTCGGGAGCAATATATCACATGACCTCAAGAAGAGAATGGTTCCATCATTATGAACCAGTCTCAGGAGGATCTGTGTATAGTTGCAATGATCATGCCTTAAAAATCATTGGCGTGGGAACCATAAAATTGAAGATGTATGATGGAACAATTAAAGTTGTTCGAGATGTGCGGCACGTGACAGGTCTGAAGAAAAATTTATTATCCTACGGATTGTTGGATAATAATGCAAGCAAGATTGAAACACGAAAAAGAATCATGAAGGTGTTCCGTGGAGCGCTTGTGGTGCTGAAAGGTGAAAAGATAGTTGCAAACTTGTACATGCTGAAGGGAGAGACTTTGGTAGAAGCAGAAGCCTCTGTTGCCTCATGTAGTTCAGATTCGATAATGCTATGGCATCAGAAACTTGGACACATGTCAGAACAAGGAATGAAAGTCCTTGTGGAGCAAAAGCTACTTCCAGGCTTAACAAAGGTATTACTTCCTTTGTGTGAATTGCATAACAAGTAAGCAGCACCGGTTGAAATTCAACACATCAAATTCTAGAGGCAAAAGTGTTCTAGAATTGGTTCACTTTGACGTATGGCAAGCACCAGTTACATCCCTAGGCGGAGCAAAATACTTTGTCTCATTTATTGATGACTACTCCATGAGATGTTGGGTGTACCCTATTAAGAAGAAGTCAGATGTGTTTTCCACTTTCAAAAACTTCAAAGCGCGAGTGGAACTTGATTCTGGAAATAAGATCAAGTGTTTTAGAACAGATAATGGAGGTGAATACACAAGTGAAGAATTTGATAACTTTTACAGGAAAGAAGGCATCGAAAGACAATTCACAGTGGCAAACACTCCTCAATAAAATGGAGTGGCAGAGCGGATGAACAGAACCTTGTTAGAAAGAACAAGAGCAATGTTGAGGGATACAAGCCTAGAAAAATCATTCTGGGCAGAAGTAGTCAATACCGCCTGTTATTTGGTGAATCGAGCTCCATCAACTGCAATAGAGCTGAAGACACCAATGGAGATGTGGACTGGTAAACCAGCTGATTATTCAAACCTCCATATATTTGGAAGTATTGTGTACGTGATGTACAACTCCCAAGAAATCTCAAAGCTGGATCCAAAATCCAGGAAATGCAAATTCTTGGGGTATGCTGATGGAGTCAAGGGGTATCGCTTGTGGGATCCCACTGCCCGCAAAGTGATAATCAGCAGGGATGTTATCTTTGTATTGGATAAACTAAAAAGAAAAGAAGACGATGATAGCATTGAAAAGTCAGAGACTACATAGATAAATGTGGAAAAGGAGTTTGAACAAGGAGATTCTTCTGAAGCAGAACCACCACATGATGAACAAGAACCAGAGAGTTCTGAAGCACCAACAACTCGTCAATCAGATCGTGTGAGAAGATGTCCCAATTGGCACTCAGATTATGTTATAGAAGGTAATATTGCATACTACCTTTTAACAGAGGACGGTGAGCCATCAACATACCAGGAGGCAATAAAAAGCTCAGATGCTTCACTGTGGATGATGGCGATGCAAAAAGAAATCGAAGCCCTTCATAAAAATAATACATGGGACCTTGTGCCACTACCACAAGGAAGGAAGCCGATTGGTAACAAATGGGTCTTCAAAATCAAGCGAAATGGTGACGATCAAGTTGAGAGGTATCGTGCAAGACTGGTGGTCAAAGGATATACTCAAAAAGAAGGTATTGATTTCAATGAAATATTTTCTCCTGTGGTTCGACTAACAACAGTTCGAGTAGTTTTGGCAATGTGTGCTACATTGGACTTACATCTAGAGTAGCTAGATGTTAAAACAGCTTTTCTTCATGGAAATCTTGAAGAAGAGATTTACATGCTCCAGCCTGAAGGTTTTGAAGAAAAAGAAAAGAAGAACTTGGTTTGCAGGTTGAACAAATCTCTGTACGGTCTAAAGCAGGCGCCGAGGTGTTGGTATAAGAGATTTGATTCATTCATTATGTGCCTTGGATACAACAGACTTAATGCAGACCCTTGTGCTTATTTCAAGAGGTCTGGTGATAAAAATTTTGTTATATTGTTGTTGTATGTGGATGACATGTTGGTTGCAGGACCCAACAAAGATCATATTGAAGAATTGAAGGCACAACTGGCTAGGGAATTTGAAATGAAGGACTTGGGATCAACAAACAAGATTCTAGGGATACAAATTCACCGAGACAGAAGTAATAAGAAGATTTGGCTTTCACAAAAGAATTACTTGAAGAAGATCTTGTCAAGATTCAGCATGCAAGATTGTAAGCCAATTTCTACCCCTCTTCCTATTAACTTCAAATTATCCTCCAGTATGAGTCCTAGCAGTGAAGAAGAGAGGATGGAGATATCTCGAGTACCGTATGCATCAACAGTGGGAAGTTTGATGTTCGTTATGATATGCACAAGACCAGACATTGCACAAGCAGTGGGAGTGGTTAGTCGCTACATGGCGAATCCAGGAAAAGAGCATTGGAATACAATAAAAAGGGTCTTGAGATACATCAAAGGGACCTCAAATATTGCATTATGTTATGGAGGATCAAATTTACTAATCAATGTGTATGTAGATTCTTACTATGCAGGGGATTTGGATAAAAACAAATCTACTACATGGTATGTGTTCAAAGTTGCTGGTGGAGTTGTAAGCTGGGTTTCAAAATTGCAGTCAGTTGTGGCTACATCCACAACAGAGGCAGAATATGTAGCAGCTACACAAGCCAGTAAAGAAGCAATTTGGTTGAAGATGCTATTGGAGGAGCTTGGGCACAATCAAGAGTATGTCTCTCTGTTTTGTGACAGTCAAAGCGCCTTGCATTTAGCAATGAATCCAGCATTTCATTCAAGGACAAAGCACATACGAGTTCAGTACCATTTCATTCGTGAAAAGATGGAAGAAGGGACGGTAGATATGCAGAAAATCCATACCAAAGACAACATAGCATATTTCATGACAAAGGCGATCAACACTGATAAATTTACTTGGTGTCGATCCTCTTGTGGTCTGTCAGAAATGTAAGCAACATGATGGTACAAGGTAGAAAGAATGGTGTGAAGATATGATTGTTCCAATCAAATCTTCAAGTGGGAGATTGTTGAAAATTGATAAATTCCCACCGAAAGTTGGAATTGAAAAAAAATCAATTCCACCTAAAACTTTGAAAAAGGGAATGGTAGGCATGAATTAGGCGTTGAATATTTTGAATGGAAAAATTAATTTTAGTCATTAGACTTTAGGGTATTTACAAGATTAGTCCTTAAAATTTAACTATAAATACCCTAGCTCATTTAGCTTCAAAATCATCCCAAAGCATTCTAGCTTTCTTCCAATACTATAGAGAATTTAGAGAGTTTCTTGAGAGTTGTTTTCTCCTTTTTATCAAGAGAGAATTATCATTGTTTTCTCCTTGGTAGATCGAGAGAAGTTGTAATTCTTATTTCCTCATAGTGAAATTCTTCTACCGTTGCCCGTGGTTTTTACCCTAATTTTTTAGAGGTTTTTCACGTAAATTTTGTGTCTCTTTTATCTTCATTTTTATTTTCTCAAATTATCAGTTGCAATTTTACTCTATCCGATAGCCGTCTTCCGCAACAGTTACAGACATTGAAAAATTCAATTAGGGCATGCCATTGTAAGTAGAGCCCAATGACAATAAGGGCTGCGTTGTAAATTCTATGGCACACTGATGCCTTTCGACCTAAAACTTGGACATAGCCATTAGCCAAGACAAAATAACGCTATTTGAAGGTGGATCATGTATGACGAGATGTGTGAAGAACCATGCTGTCATGGCAGAACCTGATGCTAGCTAGGTGGCTAATACCCTAACACAAACATTAATATCATCGAACTCTCAAAATCATTAATATCATTGCCTGCTGCAACTAGAAGCTACGTTAATATTCTATATGTACCCTACCATGTACCTGCACTTGTGCTCTTCTTTAGTCTTTTCCAGTAGTTTGGTCGACGCAGGGGTTGAAAAAAACCACGAGTCATTTGGCTGCCATGCCATTGTATAATATTGTACCATTTTGTACCAACTTATAATTCTCTTCTCCTTAGTCGTATAATATTGTACCATTTTGTTACTAAATATATATGCATGGGCCAAAATGTTAATCGGTGAATAAAATATGAGATTAAAAGAAATTTGATATTACTCCACTTTGGTGGTCCAAAAGGCAGTGGGATCCCAATGCCATTTGAGGAGAAGGAGAGAAACCTAAAACAAAAGTTATAAAACAATTCAAGTAAACAAGAAAGAGATAAAGAAGTTGCAATATGATGAAATTAAGTATAAGATAGCTTACCACTAAACTGAATCCCAACACTTAAACTAATTCTCTCAACAAAGATGTTTAAGGAAAAGTAGCACTGTCAACTACATTCATGTCCTGTCGTAATCAAATTTAAAAAATATATATAAAAACACTCAATCTCACACTTTATCAGTCCCCTAGATTCAAGATGCCTGTCCCTGTTGTTTTGATCAGAACTCACTTAATGAAAACCAACATTTGTAGTTACAAAACATAACACTTTTCATGCCCCTTTCCCGATATAGATTGCACCCTTTTCCCCCTTCCTCTTCATCATCCTTAGCCTTTTGTTTATCTTTATCATATTCTTCTTCCCCTCTTCATCTCTGTTGAACTTGTAAGATAGCTCTCAGCCTAGGTAGCTTCTGAGTTCTACGTGTACTTGGAAAAGAAAAATGGGTCGAGGGAAGATCGAGATCAAGAAGATTGAAAACGCTACTAACAGGCAAGTGACCTATTCCAAGCGAAGGAATGGTATTTTCAAGAAAGCACAAGAGCTCACTGTTCTCTGTGATGCTAAGGTTTCACTCATCATGTTTTCCAGCTCTTCAAAACTACACGAATTCCTCAGCCCTAATATCTCGTACGTACCAAAACCCCATTCTTTCTCTTTTTCCTCTATATGGAAAACTTGTAAGTTTTGTTGTTGTTGATCTTGATGTGAATTAGGACGAAGGATTTTTTCGATCTTTATCAGAAGACTACAGGCATTGATCTCTGGAGCTCCCGCTATGAGGTTATTAATTATTATTAGTCTGTTTCTTGAATATCTATCAGCTTTTTGAAATTTTCCTTTTAGATTTTAGTCGTATGCTTTGTTTGCATTGCCAGAAAATGCAAGAAAACTACAGAAGGCTGAAGGAGATCAACAAGAAACTAAGAAGAGATTTCAGGTGAAAGGCAATAGTAGTTATTGACATATATACCAAGGCTAGGGTTATTTTGACAATAAAGGTTTTATGAAGTGAAAAATTTGATTGGTAAATGGTTTTAACAGGCAGAGGATGGGTGGAGATCTGGATGATCTTAACATTAAGGAACTGCAAGATCTTGAGGCTAAGATGAATTCTTCTTTGGTGGCTATACGTGAAAGAAAGGTTTGAAATCATTGGTCTTTTTGTTTTACAAAAAAGAAGGTGCTATCTTGGTTTTTCGTTAGAAGTTGAAATTTTGATGGTGTTATCAGTTATCAAAATATATTGGGAGGGTTATTCATTATAAATTTATGCAAAATATGTATTGAAAATTGATAGAGTTGTGAAGGAGGAAAACAATATTAAAAAGAACTTTTTGGTATAGATTAATTGGTCCGTAGATAAGATGTCGATAATATTACAAAAACCAGGAAAAGAAGGTGAGTAACTTGTTAAATGTTATCTCTTAAAAATCATTTTATAATGTAATAAACATAAAAAGATTGTTTGTGTGTTTCTATGAATCTAAAATGATGAAACTAAGAATATCAGTTGATTTCCACAGTACCATGTCATTAAAACGCAAACCGACACACACAAGAAGAAGGTGAGGAACTTGGAGCAAAGGCATGCAAATCTTGTCCTCAATTTGGTAAGAAAATGGGATTGAACTTGATACTGCTTTCAAGACTTCCATTGGCTATACACAATAGTTCAAAGAATTGTAAGATCTTAACAGTGTCTGTTCTTGTTTTATTTCTCAATGTTTTCACCGGTAATTAAGGAGACAAAGCTGGAACATCATGATGGAATAGTTGAAGGTGAAGGGTATTATAATGAACCAGCACATGGAACCTCAAGCCTATATGCTCTTCGGCTGTACCAAAACCACCATCCTTATCTTGATCTTCGCTTGGTTGATTGATTATTGCCTATTGGTGGCTGTGGAGGACACACTGCTCTGGTTTCAGACAATTTTTCTCTTTATTATATTTGCTAATAATAATTGCAGAGTCCTCCAACATTAATGAGCTGAACTTAGCAGCCTGTTTCTCCTAAGATAACTAAGTGCTTGTGTGTATTGAACATCAATTATTAAGTTAATTATATAAATCATTTGGTTTTAACAAAAAAGTATAATGAATTTGTTAGAATGATCTTAATATGGGTTTAAAGTAAGGTCGTAAATGAGACGAGTCAGATATCGTCAGTTATTTGAGTTCGATTCAATCAAAGTTCGATCAATACTCGAATCGAATACTCGATGTCGACTTGAATTCTTAACGAGTTGATTTGAATACTTAACTCAAAAAGCTCGTATATTATTTTTTATTTTTACTTTTTTAATTAAACTATTGATAAAATTAATACTTATATGTTGTTTTTTAATAAAGATATTCTCCGTATAAGACTTTTATATACTTAAACTTCATATTCGAGCTCTGATTTGAGTTTCAATTGAGTTTAGTCTGAAAATGTTTTGAGCTTAAGTTTCTTCGAGTTCGAGTTCAACTTTGATTTTTTATTTTAAATTTGAGTTGAATTTGTCAATTTTAAATTCACGAGGTTTTGAATCGAGCTAAGATAAAAAAAACATTTTGAATCGATTTGAGTTCAACTATCCTCGAATTAGACTAGTCCGTTTACATCCTTAGTTTAAAGCCCTAGACCAAAACAATTTTAGCATAATAGAGAGTTGACCTTCTCTATTAATTCTGTCAATAGTCATGCTTGACAGCTTCCGTTTATAAGTGATTAAACTAGCTGCCTCTTCCAGGATGGCCAATGTACAGGAATTTAATTCAAAAATAATTTTAAAAGGCTTAATTTGTATCACAGTTGGCTGGAAGTTCCCATGTAAGGTGTGGAGAGCTAATATTCCTTCATGAAATCCGGATTAATCACATGGCACCCAATCACTGTGTTCCATATCTGCAAACTTACCCGAGAATGAAGATATATATATATATAAGTTTGGACCTTCAGGTTTATGACTACAAAGCCATCAATGGAGATTTCTGTTCATATCAATCTGTTTTCTCTACTTCTTTTGCTGTTACTGTCACGATCTTTCTCGTCACCAGCAAGCGAGACCTGCAATCCAGTGGACAAAGAAGCATTACTGGGATTCAAGCGCGGCATCACGGCTGACCCTTCAAGGCTGTTGCAATCATGGACACCTTCAACCGATTGCTGCACGTCGTGGAAAGGGGTGGCTTGCGATTCCCGGGGGAGGGTGGTGAACGTCTCCCGTCCCGGCCTTTTTTCGCACGACGACGACTATACATACGTTCTTGAATGGAACTCTGTTCTCTCACTTGGGAATCTGTCATTTCTTCGAGTTCTTGATCTTGGCAATCTCAAAAACTTGAATGGACCGATACCGACTGAATTCGGCAAGTTAAGGCGTCTTACTATTCTTGTAACCAGCTTACAGGGTCGATACCGGCGACATTCAAACGCTTATCTTGCCTGGAAAAGCTTTATCTCGACAACAACCGTATGTTTGGTGGCATTCCTTCCTCTGTTGTTAGATCATTAACAAAACTCACCAAACTCGGTCTTTCAGGAAACCAATTCTATCAAACAATTTCAGCAGCATTCCTAGATCCATAGGAGGACTTTCAGCATTAGTGGAGTTGTATCTGAATCAAAACCATATGACAGGCAGCATCCCTTCATCGATTTCGAGGCTAATCCTTCAGAACAACAGGCTAACCGGGAAACTACCGGCCACAATAGGCCAGCTTGTCACTCTTACTCAAATATGGTTATCCAACAACAGTTTAACCGGCGAGATTCCCTCGAGCTTCGGCAATTGAGAAACCTTCAATTTTTATATTTGTCGAGGAACAATCTCTGTGGTCGAGTTCCAATTCAGGTGGTCAAGCTGCAGAACTTACAGAGATTGGATGTGTCGTTTAATCCTCTGATGGAGTCAAACCCAATCGAGAATAGTAAAAAGAGTGTCGACAAAACACTACATGATTGAAGAAAAATAAAGCAAATAATAAACGCAATGGACTGCAAAGTGGGATTGATTGAAGATGCATGATTGGTATCATAATAATAACAAGAAGCATCCAGCAAGCCTTTGTTAGCCTATAAATAAGGCCTCATTTTGTTGTGCAAGTGTGTGCCGAGAGAGAAATAAGAGTGAGTTCTGCCAAAATTTATGAATTTCTAAACTAGCAATAGCTACTATATGTTTTTTATGTTATAATAATGTTTTGCGTCTAATAAAACCAATATTCTATGTTTTTTTTTTGTTTTTGGTACAAAAAAAAGTTTAGGTCACGGGTGACTCCCCAGTCCAAGATCAGGACACACCTAAGACCCAATTGAGATTTACATAGGACTTTACAAATTGCTTACCAAGAGTGACAGTAAGATTCAAATTTAACCTTACAAGCTCAAATTCTTGAATTTAAATCACTTGTGCCAACACTCGTTGACATACTATATGTGCTTTTAAGTTTGGACTTGTTAGTTTAAAAAATAATGAATTAATATTCTAATTAATTATTAAGCGTATTGTTTTATTGAAATTTAATCCAGAACTGGAAGTTATTTCTAGAGGACCTAAAATTTCCCGGAGACTTCAGCGTAAAATTGTTTTGTACACGCTTCTTTTATTTAAGGATTAAATATAAAATGAATGTCTAAATTATATTGTTTTTTTAATTGATGTCTAAATTATTTTTTGAATCATCCAATTACCTACGTTACAAATGTTATCACTTTAGTTGCTTTGATTATAACGATCGTTCAAAAATTCCGTTAAGTGACACGGATCAAGATCCTAAAATTTTGAAAATTTTATTTTCTTTATAAATAAAAAATTACTTAAAAAATAACATGTGTCCCTCCTCTCCGTCCCTTCCCTGCTGCTGCTCAAACGGCTGACTAAACAGTTGACCAAATGGTCAAAGACCAACTTACACAGTCGAATAAATAGTCGATTACCACGATCGATAAAAGGGATTTACGGGATTGAGTATTTGGGATTTTAGGGATTTGAGAATTTTGTTTGAGATGATAGCAAGGGTTATGACCGGTCAGTGGGTTGTCAGCGATACATGAGTGGTCGTTTTCCGACAGATAGGTTGCCGGATATGACCGACGATTGGAGTAAAGGGTTAGAGATTTTTTTTTTCGTTTTAGAAATATTAGGATTTTTTTCGAAAATAAAATATTTTAAAGTATTTTTTAAACAAATTTTAAAATGACAAGATTGTGATATGTGTTACTTAACGAAACTTTTTTGTTGTCATTAAAATTGATGCACCTCAAATAATAACGTTTGTAACGTTTTTCGATTAGCGTTTTGATTGTATAACGCTTTTTGAGCTACCTTATGGATTGTGTTATAAGAAAAGGAAACGAAATGTTCTATTGAGACGTTGTCAAGGAGGAAGAAAGAATTCATTCGTATAATTATTTTTGAAGACGAATTCATTCATATTAGATTCAATGTAATGGGGTACACTCTTTGGTTTTACAGTGGAAATACAATAGAAAATGTTAACTTTTGTTTGATTCTTTATTCAGTTCAAGTTTAAATCTAATGTAGTTCATTGAGATCTTTTTATGGCGAGCAGCCGATAGAGGTATTAAAAAATGAGCGTCTCTGGACTATTCCCTCCCCCAAGATGTTGCCTTCGGCTACCTGACCGCAATCAAGGGCTGATATGCTGGCAAGTTTCGGCTATTCCAAATGCTGGCAAACCAAAGGAGATATTTGACAATCTTCGTCTTGAAAGGTAGAGCACCAGTAAATGAAATAGTACACTAAACTCTGAGTTTGGTTTGGTTATGTGAAGTTGTGGTTTCCTATTACCATGCAGAAGTAGGTGGACTGTTTCTATCAGAAGGTGGAAGACACAGAAAACTCATTTGATCAATTGTGCAATGGATGCTTCCTATGGTGATATGGCTGGTGAATCAGGTGGTAATATTCATTACAAGGACTGTGGACTTATTCTTTTTTTGGGGTGGGGAGAGAGAATTATTTTTTTTGATTAGCTTATAATATGCACGCATGCTACTTTAAGTTTTTTTCGTGGGAAATATATGCAATTAGAAAAACCTTCTGACCTCACGGATTTCTGCCTTGAAGAGATGTTGAACATGGTGTAAAGTTTAAACTAATAACTGTGTGTTGCATTGATGTTATCAGTTGTTTCTTAGGATTGCTTACCGAAGGCAAATGTTCTTAGCAAGCATATATCCTTGAATTAGTTACCGATATCTGATTTTGGATCCAAGTTTGATAATTTCTTTGTAATTTTGACATACTATAAGCTTAGCTTTCATTCATTGAGCATGGAGCTAGTTTAACCCTGACGTTGTTGGTTTCTTAATGACCTTGGATGCATCTGTTATGTGCATTTGCCAGGAGCCTATAAATTGCAGTTTACTTGCGGAGAATTGTTTCACTGAATTGTGCTTTTCTACTAGTTTATTGTCGCCAACCCCATTTTATTAAACTTCCTTATGTGCTGTTAAAAAGAATTAACCTTGTCGAATTTATTCATCAACTGCCTTTGCAGGATCATCTATATTTCCTAGAATTAATGTCAGCGACCCATACAAACGGCTGGGAATAAGCAAGGAGGCTTCTGAAGATGAAATTCAAGCTGCACGGAACTTCTTTATTAGTAGATATGGGGGACATAAACCCAGCGTGGATGCAATTGAAGCAGCCCATGACAAAATAGTAATGCAGAAGTTCTATGAAAGGAGGAACCCAAAAATTGACATCAAGAAAAAGGTCAGGGAAGTCGAACAATCCAGGGTTGTACAGGTTGTGACAAGCAGATTCCGAACTCCTGCAACTAAATTAATTGTAAAAACATCCTTAGAATTTTTAGTGCTTGGAGTTCTCACTGTTCTCTTCCCCACCGAAGAAGGCCCAACTCTGCAAGTAGCTTTATCACTGATAGCTACCTTCCACTTCGTACACGATCGGTTGAAGAGCAAGATACGAGCTCTACTTTATGGGAATGTGATGGCATTTCCGATGTTAACCTAAAATGTGATCTGGTATCCTTGATCTCTCTTTCTAAGGCATTTTCTCGGCAGTTTGTCAAGAAGATGAATGTCCCTAACCATTTCTGTCCACCTATGATGAATATTTGCAACATACATTATTCTGTCTTAAAGCTATCCTTCTTCCAAAAATGTTCCTTAATTTGAATTACATTAACAGGCTTTAGTAATCAATTTGTTTCTGCACTGCAGGGCTGGAGCTTTTATATTCTCCTGGTTGGTGGGAACCTTCTTGATGGTATCCGTAATTCCACCTATTCCTACCCTTAAGGGCCCGAGGAGTTTTTGAAGGGCGTTTTTCCCGATAAATCATCGATGACCGGTATATTTATCGATCTAACACCGGTTAGACTATATTTTTCGATCTAACACCCGTAGCAGTAAAGCGCACCCCTGAAACGCGCTATATGCTGAGTTGACGCCACGTGGGGTATAGCGCGCCCCTGCACCGCGCTATATGCTGATATGGGCACCATGTGGGTATAGCACGCCTCCTGCACCGCGTTATACGTGTGTGTGATACGTGGGGTATAACGCGCCCCCTGCACCGCGCTATACCACACAATTATATATAACGCGCTATATCATACAATCAGAAAATTATTTACTTTTTCTTTTCGTTTGTTATCAACCAATTGTATTTTAGATAATATTCTTTAATAATAATAGGATAAATCTCATAAATGGTACACAATTACTATTGGAATTGCAAATAATGAGGTGATTTTACTTTTGTACTTTCTAACATTGTGTATTGGATTATGGTTTAGACTAGATTGCTAAGGCACATTTTAAGATTAATTAATTTTTCATTGGCAGGTCATAAGAATATATAACGCGTCATTTTGATCAGTCGTGGTCAGTTCAAATTCACCTTACAAAAAAAAAGATAAACAAAAATAACAGGCAAGCGATCGAAAACTACCAAAAACAAAAAAAAATGTCATAAAAACAAATATAAACATGTCACAAAGACAAAGATAAATGTGTCTCAAAAATAAAATTATTTTTATTGAAAAACTAAAAATAAAAAGAAAAATTAACCGCCGATAACTAACATTAAAATCGATGTCGCCGCGGATTAAACAAAATCGAAAAAGAAAAAATTGATTTGATTTATAAAAAATGACACAAATTATAAAAAAAGAATATTTTCCTGTTTAATTAAAAACAATTTATATGTTAACATATTTATATTTACTAGTATATAATATGGAATCGTGTTTATATTCTGCTACCAAATTTTAAAAAATTATACAATAAAAATCAATTGAATAATAATTTAATTAATATTATGACCTGCCATTGAAAAATTAATTAATCTTAAAATGTGCCTTAGCAATCTAGTCTAAACCATAATCTAATACACAATGTTAAAAAGTACAAAGGTAAAATCGTCTTATTATTTGCAATTCCAATAATAATTGTGTACAATTTATGAGATTTATCCTATTATTGTTAAAGAATATTATCTAAAATACAATTGGCTAATGATAGACGAAAATAAAAAGTAAAGAATTTTCTGGTTGTATGATATAGCGCGTTATATATAATTGTGTGGTATAGCGCGGTGTAGGGGCGCGCTATATCCCACGTGTCACACACACACGTATAGCGGGATACATGAGCGCGTTATACCCACGTGGCGCCCATGTCAGTATATAGCACGGTACAGGGGGCGCGTTATACCCCACGTGACGTCAACTCATCATATAACGTGTTTCAGGGGGTGCGCTTTACTGCTACGGGTGTTAGATCAAAAAATATAATCTGACTGATGTTAGATCAGTAAATATATCAGTCATCGAATTTATCAGAAAAAACGCCTTTTTGAAGTGCCGACGTCACTGATAACCTATGTGCTTCTCTGGGTTTCGTCCACATATCTTAAGTAGTGCTAAAGCACTAGCTTTCTTATTTATAGACTCCCAAGTTTTGAAGTAGTGGATAACCAATGGTTTTCTTGGTAATACTTTGGTGTCTGCATCTAGCCTTTCGGGTGATTCTAAAACCGAAATACAAAATCAAAGCATTGCTTTCATTTAGGGTATGTTTGTTTCGAGAAAAATAAATATTGAAAAATAAATTTCGTAAAATAAATTATATTTCTTGAAAAATATTTTATGGTTTCGGATGATGTTGTGTAATTTATTTTCTAATGGTCGGTAATTATTTTTAAATTATTTATTATAAATATTAAATACAATAAATAATATTATTTTATGTCAATATTATTATTAAAATATTGTATCTATAATTCTATAAATAAAAATATTAAGATTATTATATTTTATTAAAATGAAATTATGACAAATTATATTAATTATTTATTAAAATAAGAATTTATTATTAATAATTATATTAATTACTTATTAAAATAATACTATTATTAAAATATTAAAAAATTAATGTTAAATTATACTTTAAGGAGTATATTTTAAATATTCAATAATTCTATAATATTATTTTTATAAAATTAATAAATTGAACTAGTTTTATTAATAATTTATTATATATTACTAAAATAAAATATTATATATTATAATAATATGATTATAACAATAAAAAAATATAATATATACTATTAAAAGGATCAATAAATATAATTTAATAGTTAATATTTTTATTAAAATTATACTAAAATAATATATTAATATCAAATATATAAAATAATAATATTTTCAATATTTATGCATTGAAATGAAAAGTACGTAAAATCAGACTATAAGTCATTAAAAAAAAAGAAGAGAAAATTCAATTGTCTTGGAAAAGAGTTATATTAACTATCTATTTTTCATCAATCCAACGTTTGGAAATAAAAAGAAATATTTGCAAAAATTCAATTAAAAAAACAAACGGACAAGATTTAAGAAAATTCAGCCTCACATCAGCCACACCTCTCCCATAGCAAGACACGATTTAGATCAAGACGATATTTCTACAAGATCCCACCTCAAATGAGCCACACCTCTCCCATACCAAGTTGCCAAGTAAGCATCCCTCGTGTCAGTTGATGATTGGCCTACGTATAACAGCCTCAAACAAGATATCTCTTGGCAAGTGCCAGGAACTATAATTTATAGAGAATTGGAGCCTAAACGTGGTGTATAAAAAGCTCGAGTTGAGAGAGAAGAGAAAGCATTGAAAATACAAAGAATGGCCTCTGCATCTCTCCTCAAGACTGCACCTGTTGTAGACAAGTCTGAGTGGGTTAAGGGTCAGACCCTTCGCCAACCTTCAGCTTCGATTGTGCGGTGCCACCCCGTTGCTCCGTCTGGACTAACCGTGCGTGCTAGTTCATATGCCGATGAGCTTGTCAAGACTGCAGTAAGTTATATAATTTTAATTTCTTCCACAACATGCTAATACAAGGATTTTTAAGTACAATAAACTGACAATTTGCTGAAAGAAACAATGATTTTGCTGATGGTTGGATGTTTGTAGAAATCTATTGCCTCTCCAGGCCGTGGAATTTTGGCCATGGATGAGTCGAATGCTACCTGCGGGAAACCTTTGGCATCTATCGGGCTAGAGAACACGGAGGCTAACCGCCAAGCCTATAGGACGTTGCTTGTTTCAGCTACTGGCCTTGGACAGTACATCTCAGGTGCCATTCTCTTTGAGGAAACCCTCTACCAAACCACAATCGATGGCAAGAAGATGGTTGATGTTCTTGTTGAACAGAACATAGTCCCGGGTATCAAGGTTGACAAGGTAAGTCTGTTGCCTCATTTGTGGAGGAACACCTCTTCTCTGTTTTTTGATTTTAAGTTGTATCAAGTATCTGTTACTAAGCCCTTGATAATATGATTACTGCAGGGTCTTGTTCCACTGGCTGGCTCAAACGACGAGTCATCGTGCCAAGGTCTTGATGGCCTCGCCCCACGCTCGGCTGCATACTACCAACAAGGAGCTCGTTTTGCAAAATGGTAAGATTTTATCCTTTTGGCCCTTCATTCGTATATTTGTCAGTTTTCTGTTAGTATTTTCCTTGTGTTATCCATACAACCATGTAATATAAGGATCATGTCCATACATAATCCATTCGTTCTGTTTTTATAGGCGTACCGTGGTAAGCATTCCCAATGGACCATCTGAACTTGCTGTTAAGGAAGCAGCATGGGGTCTTGCTCTCTATGCCGCCATCTCTCAGGTAAAATCAACCGAGTTTTATCACAGCAGTCTCAACTGCAATTTCTTTGGCATTAGGTAATCTTTTTGGATGTTTGGTCATGCAGGACAATGGATTGGTTCCAATCGTCGAGCCAGAGATCTTGCTCGATGGTGAACATGGAATCGGCAGGACCTTCGAAGTAGCTAAAAAGGTATGGGCTGAGGTTTTCTTCTACCTTGCCCAGAACAATGTGATGTTTGAAGGTATCCTCCTCAAGCCAAGCATGGTCACTCCCGGTGCGAAGTGCTAGGACAAGGCCACTCCTCAACAAGTTGCTGATTACACACTCAGCCTCCTTCGCCAAATAATCCCTCCGGCTGTTCCCGAAATCATGGTAATTGCCTATAAAAAGGAAGTTTTTTTAAAATGCCTAGAAGAAACTTAGCAGCTAATGGTTAATTGGTTGCTTTTTTTTTTGCCAGTTTTTGTCTGGTGGGCAGTCTGAGGTTGAGGCCACCTTGAACTTGAATGCAAAGAACCAAGCTCCAAACCCATGGCACGTGTCATTCTCATATGCAAGAGCCCTTCAAAATACTTGCCTGAAGACGTGGGGAGGCAGACCTGAGAATGTGAAGGCTGCTCAGGAAGCGCTGCTCGTCCGGGCAAAGGCGAACTCTCTTGCTCAACTAGGAAAGTACACAGGCGAGGGAGAGTCGGAGGAAGCCAAGAAAGGAATGTTTGTCAAGGGTTATGTCTATTAGCTTGATTGTATCTTTCAACAGCTTTATAAATTTCCTTGCACCGAAAATTTAATTGAAAGAGCAGACTGCTGATCATTCTATCGTTATAAAATCTTTCATTTCCCCTATATTTTCCCTCTCAATAATTATGCTGAAGCATTACTAAAACCAATCTGAGCTCTATGATCTTGCATGTGGAATACTAATCTTACCGCGAAATATGACCGCAAAACAAAAACAAAATTTACTAAAGAATGATAGGTTACAGATCAATGCTTTGCAGTGAATTACGTTCTTCTGTTTCTGGTATGGCCGTATGAGCAATGAAAGCTGTCTGAAAACTATACTAAGCAACTATTCTAGTTCATGGAGAATGAAAGAGATGATAAGTTGACCAGCTTGCTAAGAGAGACCAGGCTGCTTATCATCATCACTGCCGAACAGACACGACGGATCAATTTTGCAAGCTTAAGAGAACAGTTTGATGTATAGACAGTATTGTTTCTATTCCTGAGCATACTTTTGTAATGTAGGTGCACATACATGCAAGAAAATTGCATCAAATACAGAACATTGGAGGTTCAATCTTATTATCACATTGAGGAATGTATCATTCCTCAATGTGATTTCTCATTTCAACTTGAAAATAATGCAAATGTCTGTCGACAAAACCGACAGAACTTACAGCAACTAAAACAAGCATCTGAACTAGCACTTTTGGAGAATTTCCAGAAAAAAAAAGTATCTTACAGTTTTTGTTAATAGAAGCCAAGTACTCTTTAAGGTAAAAATTAGTGGTAACTAACTGTTTTCTCTTTTAAATTCTATCATTCTCTGTTTAGATCTCAAGAAACTTATAAATGATCACAACACCCTTTTTTATCACTGTTCCATTCTATCATCTCAGCCTGATATACAATTGAACCTGCCAAATCCATCAACTGTTCAAAGTAAGGGTGTTGTGATCATTAATCTAGCAGGGGATTTTTATGGTACAGGAGTAAGCGTATAAAATATTCAATTTTGAAGAAGAAAGGAGGGGCATAAACAATTGGACTATCAAGCAACTATGTCAAAATCCCACTTGAGGGGTCCATTTAACAGCTAAAAAAAACTTATAGTTACATGAACACTAGAATCAATTGAAGAAAGATGGTGAGAAGATTGAGAGAGACAAAAGAGCCAGGCCAAGAACCTTATTTCCATTTCTTTCATCCTTTTGATAGCCATTTCTTTTTCAATTTAATACAACCAATCCCACAAACTTATCAACTAATATAAGCAATACACACTTTGTTCATAAAAAAAAAAAAGACAGCAGACCATTGTAAGACCTGTGAAAACAATTGCAGCATATAACGGCAGAAAAAAGAAAGTGAAAGTTGTTCACAATTTTCTTTTCTCTGGTGCAATTTCAGAATGAAATGTTCAGCATTTCCATGCTCAAGCTCTCCATCATCGCATTTTCCATGAATCCGCATTTAGGCGGTTGTGCAGACTTGATGAAACTGCTTAGCCTTGGATTGAATGAGCATGAAGAAAGAGGAATGACTGGAATGTTTTCGCAGTTGCAGATCTCAACCATGTAACCATCTGGATCGTGGAAGAACACTTGTTCAACCTTGTTCCCTTCATCTTCGACCACGGCTGTGACGTACTTCATTCCCATGTCTTCCAGCCTCCTTAAGACAAGGCCGACATCGGTACACTGCCATCATCACAAACCGGAAAACTGTTAGTGCTGCAGATGCAGGCTTAGTTTCTGAAAGATTCAACTTGAATTCATATATTTTATACCTGGAAGGATATGCGATTATCCTTTGGATTAATAGACTGTGGTTCCACGATAGTGTCGAAATCATCTATAGATGGATTCTCAATTAAGTGTATCCCAATGCCATAGTTATACAACCTGCATATGATCCCACACATCAGTGATTTAGTTTTCTGTTGCATTTTTTGAAGAATGGATGGAACAGTAAGCTTACCAAGCTCCATTGAACTTGAAAGAAGAAGGGCGTTTGATGGGAACAAAGCCCAGAATTTCTTCATAGAACCGCATGGAATCCCAAACTGATCTACACAACAATGAGACATGATTCAATGATAGAAGTGGCAATGCGCCCTCAAAGTTGTTTACTGGCACAGTGTCCATGTTCTCGCTCTTACAATTTGCTTCTTCTTCTTTCCTTTCTCTACTATCTCAGTTTGCATGAACTAGTTTATTGCATTGTGCTCTTTTTATAGAGTGAGACATTCCCATTTTTCGAAATTCAAGTTCAAGTAATTATGAGGAACTTTCCTGGCAAATTCTCTTACAGCTTTAGAACACGGTTCTTTGTACTGACCATTTTCATCTGCAGGAAATCAAGTTGCCATAAAAAACAAAGCTGTCTGGTTTAGCTTGTTGCCTAAGCTCAATGTTGAAGAAGCTGATAAGATCAATGGCAATCACTTCTATTATGATTTAATTGCTCCCAAAAATGGTGATTTTGAAGGCTACAACAAAACAAACATCAAGGAGCAGACTTTCGAGGAATCCCATAGACAGGAAGCGGAAAATATAAAGTTCCAAAAAGCTGAGAAATTTCTTTGCTGTTTCCCGTTTAACACCTTCAATGAATGTGTTTTAAACCAATTTAATTTAAATGTAACAATTCGAATCAATCAACCCACCTGACTAGTAATATACATTATTGTCCTTTCTTAAAGTTTCGAGCTAAATAGCTGCATTTATATGAATGTATTTTAGTTATTAATTAAGAGGATTATGAAGATATATAATCTTAGAAACAATTCGAATTAATTTATTAATGTTGAATGTGTTTTAAACTAATTTAATTTAAATGTAACAATTCGAATCAATCAACCCACCTGAGTAGTAATATACATTATTATCATTTCTTAAAGTTTCGAGTTAAATAGTTACATTTATATGAATGTATTTTAGTTATTAATTAAATAAGAGAATTACGAGGATATATAGTCTTGAAAGCAATTCGAATTAATTTATTAATGTTGAATATAATATTATTAAAAATAAATAATGATGTCACTTTTTAATCATTATTTAATTATACAAATTAACATATGACAATCTAATTAATCATGTTTAACCATAATAAACTTGAGCAAAGTACATAAATGATCCATTGACTTTAGAGTATTACTTTATTAAGTTTTTTTATTATTAAAAGTTATAAAATGATCATTTGACTATAAAATATTACTTTAATAAGTCTCTTGACTATTAAAAGTTACAACAATGGTCACTCGACTATTTACTATGTTCTAAACTCGACATTTTTCGTTAAAAAATTGGCTATTGTTTAAACTAGACATCAACATAATGATTGAGATATGATAGTCATTTGAGATTATAGGATCATATTTTATCGTATCACAATCAACATGTTAATGTTCAGCTCAAAATACATTCCATTTTTTAATAAAAAAAATGATGAGTTTGGAACATAATGAATAGTCAGGTGACCATTTTATAACTTTTAATAATCGAGTGAATCAACAAAGCAACACTTTATAATCAAACGACAATTTTGTAACTTATAATAATTGTGGTACTTAATAAAGTAATATCATATAGTCGTGGGACTATTTGTATACTTTATCCAATAAATTTATAATAACAATATAAAAGTAGAGAATAATTTGGAGAAACGTCATTTATTTATTGGTTTGATTAACATATCCAAACACATCAAACCAACTGTCTGTCTCTGTCATAGCTTTTCAGGGCTATCTGTTCCAGTAATTACATGTTCTTTGCTTTATTTTATGCATACATCTTCACTAAATATTCATGTACCAAATTCACATCACCATAATAATCCTATGCATTATTTTAAGTTTTACTTGATTAAATCCAAAACCCTAAACATCGACATTCATGGATAATAACTGTTGTGTGATAGTTTAACAAGCAACACTAAAAGCCTAATTGAAATACCCTATTGAAGCATTAGTTGTGAGCCGACAAAGAATATGGTTGTGGTGAGCTGGCAAAACGGTAGTAGGTCCTAGTTAATTGTGAAAGTTCTTATCCCTCTCACGTTTATTATGATGTATTAAAAGGCTTATATATATATCTACATTGTATTCAGTGAAATCATCAATGAAGAATATACTACTTTTTATAATTTATAGTTTCATCTTTATGTATTTGTAAAACTTTTGACATGGTATCAGTAACTCTATATCTTGGGTTTCTCGTTTTCGTTTTTATGTATCCTTTTTCTTCTGTCTCCGATGGCTCCTTCGACTTCGTTCGGTGAGGTTGTTGCGTTCTCTGGTGGTCTGTTTGCTCTGTACTCCAAGACATTCACTAATAAAAAGATCAACATTCTCGATGAACTCAACTTTTTGCAATGGAAGCAACAGATCTTGTTGGCGGTGCGAAGTCACCGTTTGGAGAAGCTTTTAATTGGTAAAGCTCAAACACCACCGTATATGGTGGTTCTTGACTCTGGCCAAATGTGTGAGAATGAAGAGTTTGAGGTTTTCAAGGCCCAAGACAGTGCCTTAGCATCTTGGTTGCTTTCCACTGTGAGTCCTCATCTCTTGCCTCAGTTTGTTGGCACCGAAATTGCTGCAGATATCTGGATGACTGTTAATTCATTCTTTGCAAGTAAATTGACCTCCTCCGTTATGAATCTCTATTATCGTCTGAAGACTATTAAGAAAGGTGACCTAAGCATGAGGGCTTATATTTTTATGGTTAAAGAGATCTGCGATAGTCTTGCTTCTTGTGTGAGTCCTGTGTCAGAATGTTAGCGTGTCATCACCATCTTGAGTGGTTAGTCGATCGAGTATCATTCTATAGTAACGGTTATCACAGCCAATCGAGAGGTTGTAACCTTGGACAGTGTCATTTCGGTGTTACTTGACGTTGAGCTGCAACAACGTAGCTTTGAACAGTTTGATAGCCTAGCCATTAGTGCTCACGCCAATCTTTCTGTTGGCTCTCGTCCTGCACCCAAAGCTGCTGCGTTGATCAATTGTCAATCTTAGGGCAGTCATGGTCATGGTCGTACTAGAGTGTTGAAAGTATTGTTAAGTTCAAAGTTTGGCAACCAACTTTGAAAAAATGATTTTCAAAGTTTGGTAAATGTTTTTTTGAAAATGGTTTTCAAAGTTGTAAATGTTTCTTTGAAAAATAGTTTTTCAAAGTTTGGTAGATGTTTGTTGAAAAATGATAATGAGATAATCACAATTAATCCCTAGACTTTAGGGTATTTACAAGATCAAGTCCTTAAGCTTCAACTATAAATACCCTACCTCATTTAGCTTCAAAACCATCCCAAAATCATTTTCTTTCTCCCAATATTAGAGAGCTTTCTTGTGAGTAGTGAGTGTTTTGTAAACACCTGTAAATTTTCTCTCTTAGTAAAATATCTGCAGCAGTCCAGTATGTATGAGAAGCCATCGACCTCAAATAAAGTTCATTTGATGAGGCGATTGTTCAATTTACGGATGACGGAAGGGGCATCAGTGGCTCAACACCTAAATGAACTCAACACAATCACAACCCAGTTGAGTTCAGTAGAAATTGAATTCGATGATGAAGTTCGAGCTTTAATTCTCTTATCATCTCTACCAGACAGTTGAAATACTACTGTTACAACAATCAGCAGCTCGTCAGGAAACAACAAATTAAAATTCGACTATGTACGGGATATGGTATTGCGTGAAGAAATTCGACAGAGAGAATCGGGTGAAGCATCAACCTCCTCAGCCTTGCACACGGAGTCCAGAGGGAGAACTTCAGAAAGAAATTCAAATCGTGGCAGATCGAAATCCAGACGGGGAAAATCCAGAATGGGAAAGAAAGATTTTACCTGTTATAATTGTGGCAAGAAGGGTCATTTTAAAAGAGATTGACGAGCACTGAAGAAAGATACCGACACACAGGATTCTGTCAACATGACAGAGGAGACAGGTGATGCCATGATTCTAAGCGTCAACAGTCCAATTGAATCATGGATCTTGGATTCAGGGGCATCTTTCCACTCTACCCCATGCCGAGAAATCATGGAGAACTATGTCAGTGGTGATTTTAGGAAGGTTCATCTAGATAATAATGAAACCTTGAAGATCGTCAGAAAATGAGACATCCGATTAAAGATGCCAAACCAGACCACCTGGAAGATGACAGGAGTGAGACATATTCCTGGTCTCAAAAGAAATTTGATTTCTGTTGGACAACTTGATGGAGAAGGATATAGCACAACCTTTTCAGGTTGTGAATGGAAGATTACCAAAGGAGCACTCGTCATTGCTCGTGGTAAGAAGACTGGTACTCTCTATGTAACCTCAAATTTAGAGAATATCATTGTATCCGCAGATGCTGATGGAAAATCAAACCTATGGCACCAAAGGCTTGGCCATATGAGCGAGAAAGGGATGAAGACACTTTTGTCAAAAGGGAAGCTGCCGGATCTAAATAATGTAGATGTCAGACTATACGAGGATTGCATATTTGGAAAATAAAAGAAAGTCAGCTTTGCAAAGATTGGTAAGACACCCAAGGCTAAAAAGTTAGAGTTGGTTCATACTGATGTATGAGGACCATCTCCAGTTCACTCTCTTGCAGGCTCATTATATTATGTCACCTTCATCGATGATTCTACAAGGAAGGTGTGGGTTTATTTTCTGAAGAAGAAATCAGAAGTCTTTGATACCTTCAGAAAATGGAAGGCCATGGTGGAAAATGAGACTAGTCTGAAAGTCAAGCGGTTGAGGTCTGACAATGGAGGAGAGTACAAAAATCGTAGATTCAGAGATTTCTGCGCAAACAATGGGATCAAGATGGAGACAACAGTTCCATGACACCGCAGAAGAATGACGTAGCAGAGCGCATGAGTAAAACTCTGAATGAACGTGCCAGAAGCATGAGGATACATGCCGGATTGCCTAAATTTCTATATGCTGAAGCTATCAACACTGCAACTTACCTGATCAACAGTGGGCCCTTAGTTCCTTTGGATGGTAAAATACCAAAGGAAGTTTGGAGCAAGAAAGAAATAAATCTTTCACACTTAAGAGTGTTTGGTTGTATTTCTTATGTACACATAGATTTTGCTGAAAGAAGTAAATTTGATGCTAAGTCCAACAAATGTGCATTTATTGGTTATGGCGGTGATGAGTTCGGTTACCAAT